AAGTGTTCCAGGCTCGTATTACATTTTCCCCACCCCAGTCTTGTAATTGGCCTTTTTTTTTTTTTTTTTTTTTTTTTTGAGAAGTTCTTCTTTCTACTGGGAAACAGTATAGAGAATCCAACATCTGGGCACTAGGCATGTTTATTACTTTTGGTTGTCAGTGTTTCTAGGAACTTTCAGCAGAAAAAAACTAGAGAATACATACAAATATTCACAAATGTAATTATATCTATACAGTATTTTAAAACCATGAATTCATGCCAATATGGCCAATTCCAATTCAATACCGCAGGGTTCTTCTTAGCCTTTTGCCATTACGTATTCATACGTTCCTTCTCAACATCATCAAAACATGTACTCATTTGCTCACTCCTACAATACATAGCAAGTTGTTCAGAATCGCTAGCCTGCAACTCTGCTAAAACAAGCCCTACTGAATAGAGTTCAAGATTTGCTTGCAATAGGCTTTTTCCTTATAGTTGCAATACTGTGTTCAACAAGTTCTTCAGGGTGAATTTTTTAAAAACAGAGCTATCTGTGTTAGTTCCCCACCCTTTTACTGTGGTCATGCTCTCTATTTTAAATACCAATAAGTTCATTTGTTTCTATTTGTGTTACATCTTAGGACTCCCCCTCCTTCATCTTATTGACTTAGTTTAATTTTATTCAGTTTTGGAGTATGTAAACATTCATGTGGTTCTAGAAGTTTGTACTATACAAAGACATATTCTTTTAACAAAAATAAGCTAATAGAGATATATAGATATCTGTATCTAACATCATAATATCTGTATGCATTTCATACACAAAAGATAACATATGTATTCCTTTGTTCTTTTATTACTATTTTACTTAATAACATGTCTTAGAAATGACTCCATATCATTTTAAATATCTTCCTTATTTTTTATAGCTGAATAGTGCTCCATGGTATGGATATACCACACAGAGTTTTAGTGAATTTTTGCATCTCATTTCATAGTTGAGAAAAGAGATTCAGAGGTAATACTCAGAGAGGCAATTCAGGGTGGGAACTGAGTCTCAGTCTTGAGTTTGAGGCCAGCCCTCCTCTGACGGCTATCTTGAAATCTTTCAACCCTCTACGGCAGCTGTCCCCAACCTTTTAGGCACCAGGGACTGGTTTCATGGAAGACAGTTTTTCCAGGGGCTAGGGGATGGTTTCGGGATGAAACTGTTCTGCCTCACATCAGGGCATTTGTTATATTTCTCTTTTTTTTTTTTTTTTTTTTTTTTTTGAGGCAGAGTTTCACTCTTGTTGCCCAGATTGGAGTGCAATGGCCCAATCTTGACTCCCCGCAACCTCTGCCTCTCAGGTTCAAGCAATTCTCTTGTCTCAGCCTCCTAGGTAGCTGGGATTACAGGCCTGTGCCACTAGGCCTGGCTAATTTTTGTACTTTGAGTAGAGACGGGGTTTCCCTATGTTGATCAGGCTGGTCTTGAACTCCTGACCTCAGGTGATCCACCTGCCTTGGCCTTCCAAAGTGCTGGGATTATAGGCGTGAACCACTGCACCCGGCCGATTTCTTTTTTTAATTTTTTAAGACGGAGTCTTGCTCTGCTACCTAGGCTGGAGTGCAGTGGTGCAATCTCAGCTCACTGCAACCTCTGCCTCACAGGTTCGAGAGATTCTCCTACCTCAGCCTCCTGAGCAGCTAGGGCTACAGGTGCACCACCACACCCAGCTAACTTTTGTATTTTTAGTAGAGACGGGACTTCACCATATTGGCCAGGCTGGTCTCAAACTCCTGACTTCATGATCCACCCACCTCAGCCTCCCAAAGTGCTGAGATTATAGGCATAAGTCACTGCACCTGGCCAGTTAGATTCTTATAAGGAACATGCAACCCAAGTCCGTCACATGCACGGTTCACAATAGGGTATGTGCTCTTAGTAGAATCTAATGCTGCCCCTGATCTGCCAGGAGGTGGAGTTTAGGCAGTAATGCTGCTGGTGCAGGCTCACCTCCTGCTGTGTGGCCTGGTTCCTAAGAGGCCACAGGTCTGTATCGATCTGTGGCTTGGGGGTTAGGGGTTGGGGACCCCTGGTCGACAACTTAAGGTAATTCAGTGTTTGTGGGCTAGTGTGGAATGGTGACCACTATTTATGACATGTATCTAGGTTTAATGGTAGCAATAATGTGTTCTGAGTTCTAAATAATCACTAAAACAAAATTTAGTAAATTATCCTACATCGGGGTCCTGAGTGTGTTCCAACTTGGTAATTTGAGAGGAGTTAGTAAAGGACCTTGTTGTTATAGGGAAGTAGAAATTAGAACAATCGTGAGACACTCTTTCCTAACTATCAGATTGGCCACAATTAACAAGCCTGACTATACCAAGTGTTGAAGAAGACGTAAAGAAATAGAAATGCTTGTTTACTATTGATGGGAGTATGCATTCAGTCAATCACTTTGGAGGACAATTTGGCAATATTCTAGAAATTTAAGGCTCTACATAGCTTTAGTGTAATTAACATATAGTAGGATTATTAGTGCTTTTAAAAATAAATAAATTGATATATATTTTAAAATTGTCTCAGTTTTAATTTCTAATATGGTAAACGTTGATAGCTATAACACACATACACAAATTTTATGTATGTGGTCTTAAACATCAGGAGTATGAAGAGGAACTGAGACAAAAATGTTTTCAAACTGCTGTCCTGGAGAAGTGCTGGAATACACACATAAGGAGAATTGTTTAAACACATTGTCAGATTGTTGGTAATAGTGAAAATGTGAACATAAATGTCCATTACGAGAGCATAGACAAATGCAGTGCTGTATATTCATATAATGGAATTTTATATAGAAACTGAAATGAATCAGCTTGGATAAATCTCAAAAACCATGCTGCATGAACAAGTCACAGAGTGTTGCATGGAATATGACACATTTTCTTTAACTTAAAAAATTTGCAAAACAGGCTAAGCTCAGTGGCTCACACCTGTAATCCCAGCACTTTGGGAGGTCGAGGCTGGTGACTTGCTTGAGCTCAGGAGTTTGAGACCAGTCTGGGCAACATGGTGAAACCCCATCTCTTATCAAAAATGCAAAATCTTAACTGGGTGTGGTGTACACATCTGTGGTTGCAGACTTGGGAGGCTAAGGTGGAAGGATCACTTGAACCTGAGGGCTGGAGGCTGCAGTGAGCTGAGATCACACCACTGCACTCCAGCCTGGATGACAGAGTCACAAAATGATTTCATGTAATGTGCATACATCCATGCATGTGTAATGAAAGCTGAAAAACATACCTGGGAATGATGTATTCCAACTTCAAGATAGAAGGCTTCAACTCTGTTTAAAAAAGATATATCTAAGGTAAATATGTGAAAATATTAAGACTTCCTGGGGGTATAAAGGTAATGGTTACTATTCTATGTATTTGAAGTATGGAAGAGGAAGGAAGGAGAGAATGGTTATTTAGATAATTATTGGAGATAAAATAATTATCTGAACAGATTATCAAAGATCCCTTGAAGCAAGAAGAGCACACAATAATATGAAATCATACCATGGAAGATATTCTAGGTTCTTTGAGAAGGAAGGAAGGTGGTTGAGGTACTTATTAAAAAGACAGAAGAAGGAAATGAATATTGAATGGTTCTTACCTGGTTGACACTATCTCATACAATATTTTACTGAAACCACAAAAAACCCAGCAAGGTGTAATACATAGTTTTTGGGATAACAATACATTATCTCAAAGTTACAGATGAGCAAATCAGAGCTCAGAAGGGTGGCCAGGGTAGGTACACAGAGGAGGCCCGCTTTGAGCCCAGGTCTTCTTGCCTCAAGAGAGCTTTGCACTGTGCAATTCTATGTGTGCCTCCTGAGGAGTAGGGAACACAAAGAGAAGAGATTGGAAGAGACAGCATTTCTCTTTAATGATACTTCATATTTATAGTAACTGTGGGGTTCAAAGAGTTTTAGAGCTGCCACAAATTAATTCTCATAAATTATTCTGACTATATGAAAAACTTTAAGAAACATGGAGTTTCATCATGGTCAAGCAATTTCCCCTTGATTAGAACATTACTTGCAATGTGTGGAATAGAATTCTGTTTCTGTTTAGCAGAATAATCACACTGATCACATCTGCCTTTTGGGGAAATCTTGTTTTTTTCTTTGAACCATGATTCATTTCATTTAGAACTAATGAATGAATGAAAGGGACATTTGTCAAGCACTTTTCTGTGCTGTGCTAGATGTCTTCTTACACATGACCTCATCCATTTATCACGGCATTTGTTTGAGGGTTATCACCCCCATTTTATAGATGAAGCGATGGAGGCTCAGAAGTCAGAAGAGACTTACCCAGAGTGACCTAGCAAGGGGTGCATGTGCTATTTCCAACTCAGGCCTGTCTGGCTTTTTCATGTTATGCTTTTGGACAATCGTTAACCAACCATTCTTAGGATAAGACCTTAAGCTGACTTTGAAATACTTGGAAATTCTTAGGGGCTGCAAAGCTCTCCTTTGTGAGGAGAAACCAAGCGAGAGCTACCCTGCCTGCCCTCAATGAAGGCTTCCAGGAAGTTCTTTGCACACTGCCCAGATATTTTGCTGGCATTGCCCCTTCTTGATGAACCATTGCCTGCTGCTTTAGAGGCCAGGCTTAAGCAGTAGTGGAATTACTCATATTATTACTATTGTAATGATAACAAACATGAATTCAAAATGTTTACGTGTGTGTGTGTGTGTGTGTGTGTGTGTGTGTGTGTGTGTATACTGCTTTTTATTGTAATATGTTTGTTAGTTGAATGAAAACAAACAGTAGCTAAAAAGATTTCAAATAGAAAAGCATATCTGGGTAAATTATTACACAATTTTTGTGTATCAGATGACAGAAATGTGTATTTTTGCACCAATTGCAAATGCAAACTTAACAACGAACTCAGGGAACTGAAAGGTCAAAGGGAGTCTCAAACATATTCACTATTTTAAAATTTAAGACAAGGAAGCTTAGAAAAAACCCCAACATATATACCATTATAACAGTCTTTTTTTTTTTTTTTAATTACTTCCAATTGTAACTGTTTTCTAAAAGCATTAAGACCTTTATTGTAGATTATGTATCATCTCCTCTTTGGCTACGAGATGTGTAGTTTTGTTAACCAGAGAAATTAATGAGTTCAGTTTCTGAGACCAGTCATTTAATAAATTATTTGGATCCTTGGGTCTCTGGAAGTTGATAATTCCTGCTAATCTGTCTACTTTAGCAAAGATGGTTTTGTTAACTACTAGATTTGAGAGAAAGGCTTCAGACTCATCAACAGACAGATCCAGAAGCTGTGCCATCCTTTTCATTGTTATCCGAGTATAATACTTGGCCATTATTCTAATATTATGTTCAACAACTCTGTTCTTCAAGCCTTTCCACCTTTTCTCGCCTTCCTCTGTAGAACCAAAAACATCAGTTGCAGGACTCTCAGGGGAACCTTTTCTTAATTCCATTCCATAGTCCTCAACAAGTGCGCACCAACCCATCAACTCCATTGTGGTAAAAAGCTTTAAAAGATCCTTGTATTTGGGAATTTCTTCTAACTTCTTGTCACCACTTATTCGATGAACCAAATCAGACTGTTCATTGTCGAAAGCAGCCAGGATAACATAGAGTACAACACTCTTCAGAGCCTGCTGCCATTTTTCACTTTCTGCCTGTATACAGGGAATATCATATATTGCTCTGCAGTGCTTACAAATAGACAAATAGGATCCCTCATGTTGATCCAGCTGAATCGTTAAATTATAGTACTTCAACTTTAATTTCTTTGTATTTTCTTCCGGGAAAAATTTGGTGTTAATTTTCTTGCTGATGATTTGTGTTCGAATGTAATTCTTCACAGCTAGGTAGAGCCTCATCTGCTCCAAAATAAATTCCACTCTCTTTCTTTTCCATTGACCCGTAGCTATGAACATTTGTGTACAGGTTTTTGTGTGAGCATATGTTTTCTATTCTCTTGGATATATACCTAGGAGTGAAATTGCTGGGTCATGCATTAACTATGTTTAACTTTTTGTGGGACTGCCAAACTGTTTTCCACAGCAGCTGTACCATTTTATATTCCAACTAGTAATGAATGAAAGTTCCAATTTCTCCATGTCTTTGCCAGTGCTTGTCTGTCTTTTTTTTAAATTTTAATCTTCTCATTGGGTATGCAGTGGTATCTCACCATGGTTTTGATTTGCAAATAAAATTGTCATCATTTAATGACAACGATAGTGAACATCTTTTCATGTGCTTATTGGCCACTCACATGTCTTCTTTGGAGAAGTGTCTATTCATATCATTTACTCATTTTTAAATTGGGTTACTTTTCTTTTGTTATGAGTTATACGAGTTGTAAGAGTTCTTTATATATTCTGGTTACAAGTCATTATCAGATAAATGATTTGTAAATATTTTTCCCATTCTGTAAATTGTCTTATTCTGTAAATAACAAGTTATAGAATGGAAGAAAATATTTGCAAATCATTTATCTGATAATATTGTTATCTTCTTGTTTCTTGAGGCACAAGAGTTTTTTAAATTTTGATGTAATCCAATTGATCTATTTTTTCTTTTTTTGTTTGTGCTTTTGGTGTTATATTTTAGAAACCTCGGCTTAATCCACAAGAGCTTTATAATTTTAGCCCTTAACTTAGATTTAGGTCTATGAACAATTTCAACTTTATTTTTTTGTATGTGATATTAGGTAGGGGGTCCAACTTGATTCTCTTACATGTGTATATCCAATTGTCCTAGCACAATGTGTTGAAAACCTTATATAGTTTTATAGTAAATTTGTATGAAATCCCTATTCAGTATTTACACTATTATGTATGTGTAAATGGATTTTCTGCTGAGCCAAACAGTATACTGTTATTGTTTCCTTTCTTTTTTTAAAAAAAAAAAAAAACCACCACAAATCTTTCTTTTCTAAGAGTTAACAAATAGCCTCATCGTCTCTTTTTAATTGTTGCTGTTTCTTTAATTTCTTTGAATTTATGCCGATATCTTTCCATATTCTACAGTAGTCTCTCTTTTCACAAGAGCAAACCTATCAGCTGATCTATCGTTTCCCAACTTCTTCTGGAGACATCCTTTTGGGTGCCTGCTTCCTTGCACCAATCTACACTTCTGGCTCCTAAAGATCATTCCTATTCAAACTCTCTGCAGAACTCTGATTGCCTAAACACATAATCTCCTGTTGCATTTGTTTGTTTGTTTTTTATTGGAGATGCTCCTTGAGCCCTCAGTCCTCTTGCTCCTGTCTGTGTTGGTTAGGACATCTCTTCAATGAATCTTCAGAATTACCATTGCCTCTCTCTTCTGTTGGTTCCTGGATCTGGTTTCTTTTCTGTTTTAATTTATTCCCTCATTTTGGTGAACTACAGACTCCAAGAGCTTTCTGAGAAAATGCATAGGGAATTATTATTTTTCACTTTATGTAATTCTTTATTTCTGCCCTCATATAAATAGTTTGGCTGGGATTAGAATTCAAGTTTAGAAATCCTCCTCACTTAGCACTTTAAAGGCATTCTTCCACTGCCTTCTGGCTTTCAGTACTGCTCTTGAGAAATCTGGGCCATTCTGATATGGTGTCTGAGGCCTTGGCATCTATCTGCTCCATTTCATCTCTCCAAAAGTTTTTATGACCTGATATTCTGAACTTTCATTATAAAATGTATTGTTCTGAATTTGATGTATATTATGCCGAATACTTAATGATTCCTTTCATTCAGGGACCAATGTGTTTTATTATTTTGAAAATTAATTAATTATTTATTTATTTTGAGACAGAGTATTTTGAGACAGAGTCTTGCTCTCGTTGCCAAGGCTGGAGTGCAAGGGCATGATCTTGCTTCACCGCAACCTCCGCCTCCCACGTTCAAGCGATTCTCCTGCCTCACTCAGCTTCCTGAGTAGCTGGGATTACAGGTCTGCACCACAATGCTGGATTAACTTTTTTGTATTTTTAGTAGAGACAGGTTTTCACCATGTTGGCCAGGCTGGTCTCCAACCCCTGACCTAAAGTGATCTGCTCACCTCAGCCTCTCAAAGTGCTGGGATTACAGACTCAAGCCACTGCGCCAGCTGACCAATGTGTTTTGGTTTGAGGAAATTTCCTTATGTTACTTCTCTAATAATCTCTTCCTCACTCTTTTCTCTTTGCAGAATTTCTATTATCCAGATGTTGGACTTCCTAGATGATCTCTTATGTTTCTTACTCCTCTTCTTGTCCACCTTTATCTCTTCATTTTTCTTTCAGAGGGATTTCTTCAACTTAATCTTCCAGTCCTCCCATATTAAACAAATTTTTAAGCTATTTTTAATTCCAGAGAGTTGAAGTCTTTCTTGTTCTCTGACGATGCCTGTTACAAAACATTACCTTTCTGTTTTTGTTTTGTGGCTACAATATCTCATCCCTCTGAGGATATAAACATTAACTCATGTTAAAACTGACTTATTTCCTTGTTTCCTCTAACCTGTAAGTTTGAAGTTACTTCTGTAGCATAACTGGCCCAGAGAAAAATGCTATCTCTAAAAAGGAGGTAATAAAAAAAAAACAAAACATTTCCTCAAATGTCCAGCAACTCTCAGATCTCCTATTTAAGAGTAAGACAAGGAAAAGCTGAATGGAAGGGGTGTATATATGTGTGTGCGTGCATGCTAAGGTCAGGTAGGACCGACCGGGAGTAGGAGTTGTGGATGGTTGGGTCCCGCCAGAGTGGATCAGGTGGCAAGCCATATTTTGGGGGAGGATGTGCGTGGATAAGGAAGAGCAAAATACCCGTATCTACACTTTTTGCTAGAGTGGCTGAATTTCCCAGTAAAGAACCATCTTATCTCCTGTGAGGAATAGCAGGGAGTAGCTGGAGAGTTCTTCAAACGTCATTGGGACGTTTGAAGAAATACAGATAGGTCCTCAGGTCCCCCCCTTGCCCTATCCACCCAGTTGACAGGGGCTCGGGACTCTAGGAGACCAAGCACAGGGGAAGGTGGTGGTAATTGATTAAAATCTGCACACTGCGTGATTACAAGCCCCACCCCATTTCCTGAGCAGCTCTCAGAACAGCAGCAGCCGGATGGCTCACAGCTCCCTGACTCCCCCCACCTTTGGCACTCAGTTCCTGGGTCCTTACCAACGCTCTGCGGGGAAGCAGGGCTATTTCGCACCACGGTCTCCTTCCAAGTCTCACCTTCCCCCACACTGCTAAGGAACCAACACTCCTCTCTGCACTATCGGGGTTCGTATATTAAGGTTTGGGATTTCAGAAGTCTCCAGGCTTTATGAAAGATAGAATTTGTGTTTCCAATTTTTATTTTCCTTTGTTTCTGGGTAATTTTCAAGAGAAGAAGGAGGTAGGAATATCTTTTAGTCTACCATCTTGAAACAGAAAATTCTCCACTGAGTTGTTTTCTAGTGTTTCCTAAAGTAAGGAGACAGGCAAAAGAGAACAGAGGCCCCAACGGAAGAAAGTCAGTATACAAAAAGCGGTGAATGTTCTGGTGTCTATTTTCAAGACTATGTTAGCATAAGTGACAGTCACACAACCAGTATAATGAGTAAATACAGGATTTTATCCTCCTGGGAGAGCAGTCTAGCACATTTCACAAATCTTTCTTGAGAATCAGAAATCACTCTAACTGCAGGTGAAAATGCCACTGGGTTTTCAGTTATC